GCTCAATATGTTGCTCTGCTTTTTGCTCCTTGTCCTGTGCTCCCTGTCCAATCTGTTGCTCTGTTTTCTGCTTCCTTCCCTGTCTGTCACTCTGCCCCCTATCTCTTCCCCAATCAATTGTGCGCTACACACAGAAGCAGCTCATGCTACTTGTGGCATGTATTCAGATTTTATTTTTGAAACATTGAATTAAAAAAAAAAAAAAGACTTTTTGAAAGCTTAAATATATATCTCATCTTCCTGTAGTTTTCCCCTTCCTGGGACCTACTTAGTTTCTGTTCTGTTTTTGATGACGCCTCTTGTTGAACCTGCATTTTCTTCTTCATATCATCTGTCTATTAAGATGGCATTCCTTTGGAGCAGTACATGGTTTCACAGGGTGAGTCGCATCCAAGCATTCTTGGAAGAAACAGTTTATATCTCTTTCCATAAGGATAGATTTACTGCCCCAAATTTTTCCTAAAGTGATCTCAGACTTCCACTTAAATCAGTTTATTTATCAGTGATCTTTCTAGAACCTCATTCATCTCCTGCAGACATGGGCAGATCTAGGAATTCAAAACCAGGAGTGGTGTGTGAGATGCCAGTGGTGCCACAAGGGTGGTTGCCACCCACCTCTTACCCTCACCCCCCACTGCACAGACCACACAGTGCAGCAGGAGCTTTGAGGACTATTTTAATAGATTTCATAGATTCCATAGGCATCACGGCTGGAAGAGACCTTGTAAGATCATTGGGTCCAGCCCCTTGCCCAAAGGGCAGAAAGTCAGATAAGTAACATTTGGATGCTTACCTTGCTAGCATCCTTTAACCCTAAGTGTCCAGAGGAGGTGCTTGTACCACCTCTGGAGGGAGTCCATTCCAGGCCTTGGGGCTTGGACAGTAAAGCATTTTTTCCTTATGGTTGACCTAAAATGGTCTTGCAGGAGTTTGTGACCATTGCACTTTGTCATCCCTCGGGGTGCTCTGGTGAACAGGTGCCCCCCAGATCCTAATGCACACCTCTTACGTACTTACAGGATGTCACCCCTGAGCCTGTGCTTCTCCAGGCTGAAGTCCCATGACTTGTAGCCTCTCTTCGTAAGGCCTGTTCTCTTGCCCTCTGATCATGTGCGTGGCCCTCCTCTGGATTCTTTCAAGCTTCTCCATGTCTTTCCTGACTTGTGGAGCCCAGAATTGGATGCGGTACTCCAGCTACCACCTCACCAAGGCTGAGTACAGCGGGAGGATGACATCCTGGGTCTTCCTTGAGGTGCATTTGTAGATGTAAGCCAGAGTTTTGTTCACTTTACTGGCTGCAGTATCACATTGGTGGCTTATGTTCATCTTGTGGTCAGTTATGCCCCCCAAGTCTCTTTTGGTCGTGGTGCTAGCG